CTTTGTCTATAAATTTTAACAATCAGACCGCAGGAAGGTGAAAAATATTTGAAAACCACGCTTTAACTCAGCTGGATGCAATTTTGGCACAATTTTTAAAGGAAAAGACGGAGAGCGGTTCACGTGTAGACTTAATTTTTGTTGTGCGCATCGTATGTTCTACGTGAAATTTTAGTCACGAAACATGTATCAGAATGTTGAAATTCGTACCTGGTCTTGTGGTCCATTACGTTTTTCGGTTCTCGTATACTAAATGATACCTAAAAGTGGCAGCATGACACTGAAATAATTTTGTTAGTGGAGGTTGGAAGCTGCGCAAGCATGCTCGGGCAACACCGCCGCAGTTCAGATCAGCTTACGCATGCGCAGAGTGATAAAAGTTGCTCGTGAGTTTTGATTTCACTTTTGCGGTTCCTTCCCACGTTTTTGGCGGATCTAAACGAATGAGTCCCGGAAACCGAGTGATTGAACTTTCAATGACGCAATGTTCGTGAAATTATTGAGACGCGGAGATGCATCCATCAAGTTGAAAATTGTAATATCCGCATTCCAAAAATTTTAGAAGGTTTTTTTCTTTATTTTATTTTATTTATTAAATAAAAAAGAAAGACGAATTGGGAATATAATTTCTCAGGAAAAATTCTCCAATAACATTGATAAGTTTTTCTTAGCACGACTTTTAAACCCGCATAATTTCTTGCAACTTCTTGTTGACCTCATATACGCCAGGCCGGTGATTCTGAAAAATATTGCCTGCGTGTATAACCATGCAACACGCATATTAAAAGAAAGGTATTTTGATTGCTCTCCTTAATGGGTTTCTTTTTTGAAATGGTCACCGATTTGAGTGTGATGTGCTTTAAAATTTTATTTTTTTATCTCAAAATATAACGACAATTTTTGAGTTACATTTTGAGAGACAAGAGTTATTCCATTGAACCCGAGTGCCTGTTGAGGGGAGTTGTTTAAATTCACACTGTGGAAGCAGCACATTACTCACTTAGTTTTGGATTTTGACCAAAAGATCCTCACTCATACCGCTTGTGCGTTACTAATGACACATCAGTGTGTTCCAAGACCGTACGATCCAGAAGAAACCGATTGATGTGTTTAAAATTTTAGTGCTTTCCACTGCATGGTTTTGATATAATGCTCTTACAAAAAATCCAATAGCGAGGGGAGGCTCCGGAGAAGAGTTCATTAAAACACCTGTTTAATTTTTTTCAGTCAGTTTCTGTCGCTTACAGCATGAGACCCCCCGTGAACTTTGACGTAGGTCATGTGAGAGTTTTCAAACGAATCCGACAACTGCACGGCTCGATCCGCGCTATCTTGTTCGTTCTTGCTTTTTAAAATTCGAGTTTTGATTGACTGCATAATTAAACGAATTATGTTGAACCGACACACGGTACAGTATCTAATTTCAATGAGCTGTCCACTGCTGGAGAAACGCATCTTCTCTCGCCTGCTCAAAGATACGGTGAATAAGCAGCTTAATTGAATAAACTGTCCACGGGCCTTGATTTTGAATTTCGATTGACGTTCGAAATCCTAAGGATTAATTTTCACGTGAACGCAGTCCACTCTTACCCATGAAAATGAAAAGATTTAGCTTTAAAACCTGCTGAATAGGCTACATTAGATTTTCATATATCACTTAATAAGTATGCTTAATTTTGGCCTTTCCAAGTAAACAGGTATTTTGGTGAATGCATAGGGAAAATCCAAAGTCAGAGAGAATATTGGACGAGCATTTTAAAGGTATTTTCAAGTAATTGATAAGATATTTTAGGCTAGAGAGGTTAGTATTTTAAGAATTAAAAGCGTTTTTGATTAAAACTTAAACTTAAGAGAAATCAGTCAAACAATGGGAAATTTTACCAGCTGGCTTGAAAAAAATGACAAAATTCAGAAGAATTTTGCGCTTTCGTAAGAATTTTTGATTATTAATAAATTAGTGATTCAAAATGCCAATTTATATTTTACAGACATTTTCAAGGAATATAGTTTAGCTAGATAGTTTTTTTTGTTTTTTTTTCTTATTTTGCCTTTGTTTAGTCGTAAACCCAACATGCGCTCCCAAAAAACCGAATATTGGGAAAACTCGGCAGAAGGCTTCACCGAGTACCTAGACCAGTGACTTCAGATCACCGTCAGTTTGCCTACAGTTTTCAGTGTATGTAGGTAATATGACTCCGTTTATCGCAAACAATCGATTATGTATCGAAAAAGGGGCCCGGCGCCGCACAGGAATCTCGGAATTCGGGACCTGGAAAATGCTTAAATGTTGCGCCAGCTCTCCCACTTGCATTACGGCTCTATGTACTCTATGGGGTGACTACATTGATATGATACCAGTTTTTGGGTCTCTGCAATAATTTCCAATGTTCTCTCCAGCATCTTTAGTTACTTATTTCCCGTTTGACAACAATGTTCCGTGAGGTCAGCCGCAATCAGTCACGGGTTAACTGCAGCTCATCGGTTGCACTTTTGAGCTCGAGGCCCGGGGTGCCATCGCATCGCGGTGGCCGCTCGCACCGGAAACAGCCACTTGGATTTACGCCGGGATTATGTAAATGTTACCGGCACCGGCACCGGCACCGTAAAAATGATAAGGAGGGTTTTCGTGCGCCCGCTCGTCCCCGCGGCTTCCGATCCCTCGATTTCCCCGATTGCGGTTTCAACCGCTCCGGGTTTTCGGCCGAATCGTGAGTCGCCGTGAAGCTTCCTTACTCGAGGACCATATTTTTAGCCGGTCGGAAAGGAGTTCCGCCCAAGACTCCTGGGTGATTATATATGGTTGTGTGGGGGCGAGCACGGGGTTTGCTTGGAAGTGGCTGCTGTATGAACTTTGCTGATCAAGTAAATGTTACAATTTTGGGAAGAAAAGGCCAATGTATGAGTCTGTTGCAAAAGTTCAGCCAGAGCAAATAGAGGAGTTGTTCAATATGAACAACCTGCACCAGTATGAACCTTCCCGTACTGGTGCAGTATGAACCTTCATGCGTTGCCAAATTTCCTTTGATGAAGCACGACTTTCCGGCACAACTTATGAATATTTTTCTTCTAATTTTTCAGATAATTTTGCTAGCATTTCAACTAAAGTCCCTGAGAATTTCAAGGAAAAATATTCATTAAATCCCTCAATAATAAGCATTTCATCGAAGGAAATTTGGCAACTCTCGAATATTCATACGGCGTTTTTCCTTTGCACGGCAGTATAGAAAATGGCTTAAAAATCACGATGAGCGCATCGGGAAAGTCTAAAATACATTCCTAAAAAAGGAAGAAAGAAAAAAAATCCTCTAATAAATTCACAATCTTCGTAAGAAATATGTGTTTTATAAAATCCCTACTTTAGAAATGTTACAACGGAACAAGTGAACATTTCGTAAGTTGACTTGATCCATCCAACCCTTGCGCACTAGGATGCTACACAATATTCAAAGTGGCTGACGCTCCCACGCGGAAATCGTGAGGAAACACCACGCACCACGGTCTTTATCAATGGAAGGAAAATGTGATTTTAAACACGCCGGTTCATAAAATCCCGTTTCAACACTTGTGTTGGATTAGAACGACTCCTCTTACGAAATGTTCACCTGTGCCGTAGTAGCATTTTTGAGGCGGGGAGCCTAAACAAACGCATTTCTTACGCAGATTGTGTAGTTAGGAGTGTATTTCAGACTTTCCCGGTACGCTTACCTTGATTTTTGATCCATTTTTTAGAAGAAATAACTCTTCTTTTTGCTCCAGCTAAAATTTGCAACATGTTCATTTGCTAGGGTGATATATTCCAGTTGATTACTTTCCTGCACATACTCGTAAATAGATGATAATCTTTAGTCTATTTTCAGTGAGAGATTGTCCGCATCGATGTTCAAAAAGTGGTTCCTCCACACACTGTGCTCTGCTCTCTCTTAGCACGGGAGTAAACTTTATAGCCCTGGATAGACGATCAAATTCCCGAACCAATTCCGATCAAAGTAGTATCAAAGTTTCGGGAGTCATCAGTCTTAAACTCATTAATTTGCTTCATTTTAAAGTGAAAACTTGGCAGAAATGTTTCCTGTGGCAGGAAATGATGAATGGTGGCACTCCGTTCTGATCTTACTTTGAACAAAAAAGTGCGGCCCGTCAAAACTTGATGGTAGATGGTGACCACCAGTCATCAGCATGTCTACTTTTATCGGAATTGGTTCGAAATTTGATCGTCTATCCAGGGCTTTTCAGCCCTGGTTACTTTCGTTGGTAATCAATCTAAACGATCAACGGTTCAAGTCCGGATTTCGGGTGATCCGGAAGGCGGATCACGCAGCCTGATTCCGCCTAATTTAATCCGCTAATTTACGCGGAGAATATTTATTGACTCCGGCGAAAGCGCCGCAAGTCCCGTTCGAGGGAATGTTTCGATTGGTCGATGCTCTCGATAAATACGAGGGCCTTGCCCGGCGAGTGGAAAGAGCTTCTGATAATCGAAGAGAGAAGCTTCTGATAATCGAACTGAGAAGATCGATCGAGTGGAGCGTGATGATATCTATTCTGAAATTCAGCTCGTGATGGATGGCAGACGTCATCGATCGCGGACCGTTTTGCATTCTGACAGCGGGCAGGGACACTCCGAAATGACTTTCGAATTCGGGGTGAGGGGTCGGGTTAGAGATGAGGGAAAGGGCACCGTTTCTTTTTCGATTGCATTCTTCGCTTGGATTCCTATCAGTATTTCTGTGGCCTTTATCTTCACTTGAAAAAAAACACGTTGGATCTAGAGTCCAGACTAGACATTGACAAGAAAAAATACTCTTCTTTGAGGACGACGAAGGCGAGTGAAAACTTGTAGAAAATTTCGTATTTGTGTGGAAAAAGAACCTTTTACCAATCATTGTATTTTCATAAAATGTTGGGAATAATATTTTAAGAGTGAGCTACATTCTAAAGTTCTTTTTTTTTCATTTTAATTTATTTGCTTTATTAATTTGCTGGGATTTATTGTGTTTCAGATTGAGAGTAATGATCACCAGGGACAGTGCATGAGGAACTAATTTTTATCAAAGACTAAATTGCTGCAACCTCTCGCTTAGAATTTCATCTGTTTACGACCTACTGCTGAGTAAGTAGATACATTTGTATTATGTCAGTTATTAAATATTTATATTGCTCCGTAAGTAAGTGGTGGAGGTGTTTGTTTACTTATTTTATTCCGCTCTCGTATGCAAACGGTATTCAGCAATCTTTATTACACGTCTCATCTCCGCTTATATTGCAAGTGGGCGCGTCAGAACGCCTTCATATTGTCGACCGGCAGAAAGTCTAACACGCGAGTAGCTCTCCGTCTCCAATATCTCATTTTCCCATTTTATTTTTCTCCGTATGTATTGCCATTAAATGAAACATTTCATAATGAAATTGAGCCGAAAAATATATCAAATCCATACAATTTGTCTGTGATTTCACAAACAAGCTAAATAAAGTCAGTATTATTCTTCTTTTTTAAAGCTTCTGAGGTGTTAAAAGTGTTTTCTTTCTTCCTCTCTCCTTCATCAATCTGCAGGGCCAGGCTCCGAGAGAAGTATTTGTGTTTTATCATTCATTCCGAATCATTGTGCAAAGAAAAAAAGAGAAGAAAAAAATCAAAAATGCTCGAGGGCGCTGATCGTTTCAGAGTTTTAACATAATAAATCTGAAAAAATAACATGCTCTCACGGGTACTTTTCTAAATCATTTAAAGTTTGGCGGTTCCTGGACATTTCGTCAACGATTTTTTGTCCGCGCTCCTGTTTTGTCCAGTAGTTTACGTCCACTTGTAAAATAAGTAACAGTGACTTGGTCCAAGCATTATATTTTAGTCCGTATGTAAAATTACGACAGTATCGAAATGAGACAATTGAAAGAGAAGAAGGTGTTGCTATGGTGATTCATTATTTAAATGAAACACTCTCTCCTTTGAACTTTCTCCTTTTGATTCATATTTTCAAATTGTTATCGGTTGATGTTTGGTTTTTTACCCATCCTTAAAATTTTCGATATGAAGTAAACTTTATGTACACTTTTATTGTTTTGTTTTATTTTTTTTAAAAAAAATATTACTTCATTTTAAAAACATATAAAGTTTTAAAACGTGGCAAGTCCTTTCTAAGAGATGGCATCGATATTAATATCATTTAGCCGTAGTGGTGTTGAAAGCAGCTGTATAAAAATGAATAAAAGAGGGGGAAAACCAATCATTGGTATTTTTACATCGACCTTTCAGAGTCAAATGCGTCCAATTTTGAGCATTTGGTTGCACGTGAACCACGCTGTAGCACAGTAAACGCCTAACATATAAAAGAAAAAACTAAAGTGCTTTGGAGGTCATAAATTTCACACGGAACCACCTTAATATTTACAAAACACACATCATATTTTCCTTTACATATTTTTTTCCATCTATTTAAATAAGACTAATCCACGAAGAGTGTGCAAAAACTTCAAAATCATGAGTTGAAAAATGCTGACTCCGCGAGTTTAAATATTAGAGCCGAACACAGAGCGAAGCGACCTACGAACCTAAGTGGATACTTCACGCATTGCGCAATGCTTGAAGTATCCACTTAGGTTTGTAGGTGCCAATGCACGTTGCGCGTCGACCGCCCTCTCGCCGCGCCGCGCCGCGCCGCAGCGAGCCACGGCGCCATATGCAACTATTTCACAGCAGAGGTGTTGCACAGTATCATACGAACTTGAAGGCGCTCCAGCATGTTAAGGATGACGGAAGGCGACGGCGTGGACGTCCTGTGATAGGTTGGCGACAAGGGGTGGAGGAGGAGATCAGAAGGTGCTAATTGCCTGATGATCTCCGAGAGGATAGGGGGCAATGGCGATTGGGCGTCGCAGAGCGCGAGGCGGCGCTATAAAAGCGACTTTATGTATGTGTTATCAAAGGAAAGTCAACAGGTTATTCATTTAGGGCCGATCTTTTTTTTAAATTTTAATTTTCCCATTTAGTAGCACAAAGGTTAAGAAATGCCATTGGATTTTGCAAATCTTCAGTATGAGATTCACGCGCGCCTGAACCTCTCTTTGGAAAATAATTAATATTTATCTCATTTATTTTATTTTAGTTTGATTGTTTTCTCGTTGTTGCAGGTGATGGGTGTGGATCTACTGAACGACGTCGAGGTGCGGTCGCGATCCCTCAGGAAGCGCGCACCTACCTCGAAGCCTCCCTTCACATTCGGCGACTTGAAAAAGGCCATCCCTCCTCACTGCTTCCAGCGTTCTCTTCTACGATCTTTCTCCTACGTCATTAAGGACTTCATCCTCATAGGCACCCTTTACTTCATCGCCACAAGTGTCATTCCTGCCATCCCTAGGCCGCTTCAATACTTCGCATGGCCGGCATATTGGTAAGTGACCCTCTCCATTCAAACCGAGATAAAATAAGCTCGTGTCTGATTAAAGTTGATAAAAAATTAAAATTCATGAGACATGTGCCTTCTAACGCCTCGCTGGCGTTTTCGGTCGTAAAGAGGGGAAGAGGTGAAAAGCAAATCAAGAGGAAATGGCGGCCCAAATGGCTTCAAAGAAATAAAGTACAATCCATTCAAAGATGATGAAGCACGAGTACATTCAGGAGGATGATATGTAACTGTTTGCGAAGATGAAAAAAAAAAAAATTATGATCAGGTGCAAAACATGGCAACTGAACCCCCATGTGATACTGATGCAGCAACCTTTGATTGTTTATTTCAACTTCTCATTGTCAGAATGTTAAGAATAGAAAAAGTATACATATACAGAAGAGGCACCGATGACATAGTCCAAAAACAGGAACACGTAAGAGTGAAATATGGAAAAATGGGTGGCTACAATTTGCTAAACGTACTTAAAAGGCAAAATTTTCAAACCGTCAGATGCGTATTTTTAGCTGCAAAAACAATGAATAATAGTAAACACTGAGTTGCAACCGGATCCATTAGGTAATACGAAGCAATCATACAGGGTGATCCAAAAGTCCCTTCCACCCCCTCTAACTTTTTACCTAATTGAGGTAAAGATTTGAAACTTGGGGGATATTCCTAGGTCAAAGGGAGCTACTTTTTGGCCTCCCTAAAATTTTCAGGGGGCCCCCCTTGGGGGGCAACGGCCCTCAACTTTTAATTTTCAAATGGGAAGACCCCCTTTGTGATAGCTCGTTCGAAAGAGCATAAAAAAAGAAAACTTTTCGCGCAAACCCGAAGTCAATACCTCAAACCGTTTCAAAATGGCGGCCGGTTAAAGTTCAAAATGGCCGAAAATTCACACCGGTTATTTGTCGAAGGATTTGCGCGAAAATCGGTATGTAGGGGTATTTTGACACGAGAAAAACGAATTTGACGTCAGATTTTCAAAAAAACCGAAATTTCCAAAATGGCCGCCGGTTAAAGTTTAAAATGGCCGAAAATTGTCACCTCGGTTTTTTGCTGATGGATTTGCCTAAAACTTGGAATTTGAGAGTATTTTGGCATAAGATAAACAAATTTGAACTTAGATTTCTAAGAAATCAATTTTTTGTCATTTTGAACTTTAACCGGCGGCCATTTTGGAAATTTCGGTTTTTTTGAAAATCTGACGTCAAATTCGTTTTTCTCGTGTCAAAATACCCCTACATACCGATTTTCGCGCAAATCCTTCGACAAATAACCGGTGTGAATTTTCGGCCATTTTGAACTTTAACCGGCCGCCATTTTGAAACGGTTTGAGATATTGACTTCGGGTTTGCGCGAAAAGTTTTCTTTTTTTATGCTCTTTCGAACGAGCTATCACAAAGGGGGTCTTCCCATTTGAAAATTAAAAGTTGAGGGCCGTTGCCCCCCCAAGGGGGGCCCCCTGAAAATTTTAGGGAGGCCAAAAAGTAGCTCCCTTTGACCTAGGAATATCCCCCAAGTTTCAAATCTTTACCTCAATTAGGTAAAAAGTTAGAGGGGGTGGAAGGGACTTTTGGATCACCCTGTATAAAGTGGTTGTCAAAAAGGGGTCGTGGTTGCTTGACAACTGCTATCAGATTGCCACTCAGTGTTTTGCCCGTTTTGGTCGTTTTTGTACCTAGCAATGAGCCTGCGTTGCCTCAAAAGCTTCCGCTTTTTTAGTGCGTACGTCAAACAATGGTAACCTTTTTCACCCATCTTTTTAGTTTTTACGATTTTGTGAGGAAAATACGTTTAACCTTTTTATCTGCTTGCGCAGCTAGCACTTACGGTGCTCACGCAAGCACATGGTTTTAGTGTGATGATTTCCGAGTAAAATGATTCGTATGCTACTGAATGAACATACAAAAATTCAAGGGTCAAAGGTAGAACCTCTATAAGGTAAAGGTCGTAACAGACAGCACATTTTCAGCCATTCATGTATCAAAATTGAAAAGTAGAGCGATACATTTTTGAAAAGCATTATAACACGTAATCTTGCGTAGATTAACGCAAAAAAATTCGAGTGATTATCATTACTACTAGAAATATGACCAAAAAATGTGTTGTCTGTTACGGCGACAAAACTATTCTAGTTATCGTGAAACCACCTATGACAGGGCTCACGTCATAATGCACATAGCTCCTTCTGGCAGAAATATGTCAAATTTAAGGTGAATCCAGGCTTGGAACTTCGCGATTTGGCCACCACGTCGCGCTGCTCAGAGTAGCCGTATATGTTTGCCAAAATAATAAAAATTGTAATACTTATTCAAGATTGGAGATCCAGGGGATACAGCAACATACTTGTGGAACACTCAGGAAAAAAATATTCTCAAAATCCCCAAAAATAAAGACTTAACTACGGCAGAATGTAATTCCCATTGCGGCAATGGGAGAGAGAGAGACAGAGCATGAGAGATTCCGTTGCGCGCTCGGCCGCCGCCGCGCCGCTGAGCTGAAAGTTTCAGCCGTACTTTCTCTGCGCTTGTAATTCTAATTGCCAATGTTTTTGGCTCAAAATATCAAGCAAAAAATGATCTATATCTTGTGGATCTGCTTTTTGTAATTTGAGGAGTATTAATTCAGTAATCGTCGAAGGAAAGTGAAATTCTCAGTGGTGACTGGTGGCGCTATCTCTAATCTTGAATTATCCCTAATCGAACCCTGGATTCACCTTAAAGATGTTTTCTAGTTCCTGCATCGATTTGCATCTCGCGCTAATATCCGTTGATTTTTGCCTCAGGTTTGCACAGTCATGCGTGATGTTCGGCCTGTGGATCATCGCTCACGAGTGCGGGCACCACGCGTTCTCCGACTACGTCTGGCTCGACGACACTGTGGGCTTCGTCCTCCACTCCTGCCTCTTCATCCCGTACTTCTCGTGGAAGTTCTCTCACGCCTCCCACCACGCTCACACCGGGAGCATGGAGAAGGACGAAGCCTACGTCCCGAAGAAGGAGCCCATGCAGTCGTGGAAGTACATGGACCACCCCATCGGCCGCATTGCCTTCATACTAGGCGTCCTCATATTAGGACTCCCTCTCTACCTGGCCATGAATCTCGCCGGTCGCCCCTACGAACGCTTTGCCTCTCACTACGACCCATACTCACCCATCTACTCCAAGCGGAAGCGTGCTTTCATCCTGCTTTCCGACCTGGGGCTTCTCGCTGTCATCTACGTCCTTTACAACTGGTCCCTCGCTAGGGGCGTTCTGTGGGTCGTCGCCATTTATGGTGTGCCGTTATGGTTGACCAACGCGTGGCTGGTCACAGTGACGTACCTGCACCATACTCACCCCTCGCTCCCGCACTACGACTCGTCCGAATGGGACTGGCTCCGAGGTGCTCTTTCCACCGTGGATAGGGATTATGGTATCCTCAACCATGTTTTCCACCATATCACTGATACTCACGTCGTGCATCATTTGTTCACCACGCTGCCGCATTATCACGCTACCGAAGCGACGGAGGCGATCAAACCGATTTTAGGGGAGTATTACCAGTTCGATGGTACGCCGGTCGCGACGGCGTTGTACCAGGTTGCCAAGGAGTGCGTTTTCGTGAAGGAGGACGAGAAGAGGAAAGGGGTGTTCTGGTACCGGGATATGATTGATGAGATCCTCGGGTAAGATGGAGGCTGAAGAAGACTGATATTTTAGGGCGGGTCATACTGTCGTTTCTCAGACGAAGGGACGTGACTCCATTGTAACGATGCAAAATGTCTCATCACAAATCGTATGGAACGCAGGAAACTGATGGTGTTCCTGACTGAAGATTCTACTGCTTTGTCTCATGATTACAGGCAAAAATTAGCTGACTTTCGAACGGATTGCACGGTCCCATTCTAGATAAAAATGACTCGTTGGAGCCAATGTTGCAACCGTAGGATTTAAAGACGTTCCTTTGTCTGGGAAACGAGTATATGTAGTCAGAATAGATTCTGGAGTTCAGCTCATGAAGGAGGGAGGAGTTGATTCTTGCTATCTCTTCCCTTCGATTGAATCGCGCAAGAATTTTTTTCTGAAGGACCACTTAAGATTTGCCAACGGTCAGAGTAACTTTTTGGTCTCGACAATTACAGAAAATCCAAAATATTTTACACTTCGATCAAAATGTGACGAGTGATTGCGTTTGAATGAGGAACGGTTGTTCACATGCGGCAGCTGTAGGAAAAACATAATTTATTCAAAAATATATTTTTTCCTGTAGGTATGGGCAAAACTGAATTATTTTTTAAAATCTTCTTTACTTTTAATCCACCTTGTAAAAAAAACCAGGTATACATGATAAACTGACCAAGTCCTGAAGAAGGTATTTCCTCTGGACAAGAAACAGACCTAAACCCCCGTTAATTGCTTCTTTCAGTTTTCCATATTTTGTGGTGAAGGGAGGGAGGAGGGATCAGTTTGCCTCTTCTAACCAGACAATAATTGTAGTTACCTGACTGTCCAGATACCACACTCAAGCTAGAAAGCTTGAGGGCCGTTGTGTCGTATTCTGATATCTTAGAAGCAGTGACCCACAGACGATTACCATTCTGAAACTTTTACAAGGTCAGAGTGAATGAAAATGATAATAAAAAATAAGTACATTTTTAGCGAACGTTATATTCCAAATGATTCCTTTTATTTTTAAATATTGTCTATTCAGCTGCGTAATTACGCTTGATTTCGTGTATTTCAGTTAAATTCTAGCTTAGGGCAACGGTCATTGTAGTTTTTGGGTACAATTGTTATAAACAGAACTTGAGTTGGATAGTTGTTAAACACTTTCAACCATGAGGGGGTCATGTGACTAACTGGAATCGAACTTTTGAATAGAGAGCTTACTCGAAAAAAAATAGACAAAAAATCATTCAAAATTCCTCCCCTGACCGAAGAAGAAAAAAGTGAAAAATGTCTAAAAGTTGGTGGATATCGACGAAACCTTCCTTTCAAAGTACAGTTTTATTTAACTAAATCAATTTCTTGTGAGCCGTGCAAGAAAAAATCAGCACGTCACGTTAATTGTAAATCACGGATTTTTAAGTTGTTTTCACTTGCCTAAATTTCAGGCTTGAAACCTAAATTATCTCTGTAATGCTAGCATACTCTTTTTGCCCAGCAACTTCTCTTTGTTGGCCTGCCTTTATCCTTAAAAACACGAAAAAGAGGTTTTCGAAAAATTAAGTAATTATGAGTTTTTAAAGCTTTTTCATAAATATACATGCAAATACTTGTCGTATAAATTGAACCCGACGATGTTTATTCCATTCTATTGCCGTTATCTTTTCAAAGGCGATGTATATTTGCCTTTGCCTCTATGTCATCAGACTTGGTTTTTTTAACATTTACGCTGTAGATTATTTTAGATGAGAACAACTCAAGATTTCAAAAGTACTTTTGTAATGTGAGGGACTGTTAGAGTAGATGTACACAACTTTGAATCCAACAAGATATTCACTTTTTCTGTTCCCTGCGATAGAAAGGAGTTTGCCCTCTTTTCTCAATCAAGCCTGTGATTAAGGAAATACATACATACATAAAGTCGCGATTATAGCGCCGCCTCGCGCTCTGCGACGATCTTCCTCCAGATGTAACAGTAACGTGTTCCTTTTTCCTTTGCTCATTTATTTATTCAAATATTTTTGTATTTTACTATAGTAAGATGTTAGATAAGATGTATTATATTTAGCAAAGTTAGATTGTAGTTAGACAATTCATCTCAATGAAAAAGACGAGAGGAGAAAATATAGGTCTTTAACAATATCTTAGTCAAAAATCACCTTTCAAAAATAGTAAACTTTTAGATTCAAACGAGAATTTTTGAAACGCTCTTCCAACATTTCCATGTATATTTTACTGAAGAATATCACTAGTCAAAACATAACTAGGATACACAATTTGCAGCAGATGAGCTAAGGCGTGGAGAAAAAACGAATCATGAGGCACGAGGTTAAAAGAAATGTGGATAGTGCGGGAGCGCTGTAATTCATTCGAGCCACGAGAAAATATCGTTAGTATTTATTTTTAAAGAAGCGAAAGCATAAAGTTAGATTATTGCATGTAAAATGTATGAGAGGTAAGGATTTAAGACTGTACAAAAGCGATTAGATTAACGTATCGACAACAAGAAATTAACTTTGGAGTCAGAAAATCTGATATAGAAATAAGCGCTTTGACGATGATTTCTCAAGATCCTTTCTTGCGTTTCTGATTTTCAGTTATTTTATCAAAGTAAGTATTATTTTTCCATAATATATGACTTTTTGAGGAATAGAACTTCTAAATGGGGCCAGGAAAAGTCATGGTAGTTTTCACAAATGCTCAATAGAGATTATTAACAAGTTACCAGATAATGATCTGTGTCTTGGAACATATGCACAGCTGTGTTTCTCTGACTTTTCCGTTTAAAATATTTATTTGATTTCACCTTTACTTAATTTCTCGTAATTTTTACGCTGGTCTGACCATTTTACGAATAATACCTTATTCTAAAAATTTAAGACTCTCACAACATGCATCAACAGAGGGAACTTCACCATTTTATTTTGAACCAGATCCACCCATCCCTACTATATTTTCTGAATGATTTTGATTGTAGCTTTGAAAAAACTGTATCGCTCACTTAATTGTTTCTTATTTAGATTCCCTTTTTCGATTCATATGAAGCTGTCAGTATCATCTATCCACCTCTCATTATATTACATAACCTGATGATCGCCTTTGAGAACCCATGTGATTTACAAATTTTTGCAGTCATGTTTGTCCGCTTAAATAATGAAACAAATCAATTATTTTAATGAATTTGTTTGAAATAAAACCCGAACGGGAATGCGTTCCACATATGCCTGATAGGACTTGTGAAAACAAGAACGTTTCAGGTGTTGCCTTTGGTCTTCTGCCTTCTGCAAAATAATTTTTGTACATATTATTACGGTGATATTAATTATATTTGTGATAATAGTAGTAAGATTAATTCTATTGTTACATCTAGTGCTTTTGCACCTTGTTCCGTAATTTCCAGTGTTTTGTAACACACTCATTGGAAAATAGCACAACCGGGCTTTTTCTCAAATTTTCGTTTTGTTTTTTTCTCAACACCTCCTGTAGTATTTTAACTTAGAAATCATAACAGGCATTTGTTATTTCATTTTATTATCGAAAACTTCTGAAATTGCAGAGATAACTAGAATAACATACGAGTATCTCATGATTTGACACTGTTTCCGTCAATGACAAAATTCAAGGACCAATCTAAAGAAAATTCCAGATACATCTTATGATTCAATGTTTATTTTCATTGAATTCCATCGCTAAACAATAAAGTGAATTTTAAAAATATATGCTTAAGCTTTGAACTCGCTTTTATAAAAAAAAGACTCGATACTGTCAGTTGCAAATATTTGGACTGACTCATTTTTCAGTTTTAAAGTGCAAAAAAATATAAGTAAAAATGGAGTTCGGTAATTTCTTCACAACTTTAAATCTTTCAAAATATGGCTTCTCCAGTTTAAAGATATTATACAGCGAGAGGAGGATTGTTTTTAAAAAACTGAATTCTTCTCTGGGCCAAGGAACCACTTGATCGCACATGTAAGCAAACTTGCAGGATACATACCCGATAAAACTAGCCTGTGAATAGCGACTCGAAACGACAATGGCGTATACATACATACAGAGATTTTAAAGGATATCCGGAAAAAAAAGTATTTGCCAGAGGTCAAAGGACTCTAACTAGAGGTTCTAGAAATCTGGAATTTTTTCGCATTATTTAATTGCGCAATTTTCGCTGAGGTTTTTTGATGAGAGCAAAAAACCTTGCTTCCAACTTGTTGGCCACGAAAAAGAGAGCAAAAAAATTGAGAGAACAGGAAAATCCTCAAAAAATCATTTTTGATACCGTGAACAATACATCGCGTGGCTAAAGTTCAAAACATGGCATGATGCACATTACACATACCACCATATACTCTCATTGATTCACCCGATGACCTCTCCAATAATAATTATCATACAAAAACACGTCCTCAATTTCACAAGCTGGTAAAAATGACAGTATCAAAGCAGTGGTGTGGCGTGCTTTGTGATACATCGATTGATCTGCCATTAAAACCTATGAAAAAGGATCGATAGACAGGGTGTTTGCAACGGGCACCTTGTTAATCGATTCTTTACCATAGCTGCAAATCGGGAATATCGATGATCGATCATTCGTGCGTCTCCACCGGGTGAGTGCTGAATGAATTGATGGTGGCCACATTCACATTCCATCATAAGAGATTTGCTGAATCCTAAAGATCTGTAGCACAAGATGAAATCACGTGTTCATCTCTTAAGCAAAAAAAATTATTTTGAAAGTGCAGTATTCCGAGAAGTTGATGGGTGCCCAGAAAAAATTGTACCGCTGATTACAGAAACCGTCTAGGCCCGGAAAAAAAGAATATAAGAAACGGAAAAAAATTAAATTCAGAAAAAGTACTAATGTTGCATTGTGAACATTAATGTACTTTGGAGTTGGAAGTTTTTCGAAACAAACGAAATTCGTGCCTCTCTCTGTAATTTAAAATGATTTTTTTGCTAGGATAGGGAATAAATAAATGAATAAAAACAAAACAAAAAAACATAGCCCGAATATACGAATAAAGAGGAGATTTAATTAAAATATGGGTAAATAAGGCTAAAAGATTATTAAAACACTAAAACACAGGACGTTTCGAGCTGTTACCAGCTCATTTTCAGCTGCGAAAAAACATAAAAACAAGTACCTAGAGACTTCGCCAGGGGTGTGTTAGAAATGATTCATATTGTGAAAGAAAGAGACAAGCTATGCAACTTCCGAGCAGACGTGGAAGGTTTAGGGGCTGCATATCACCAATTTTTTCAATGAAGTAGCCTCAGTAAGTGCACGTCTGTCATCTGTTCGTATTTCGCGGGCAGATGTGTAGGAGCAGGGGTTGCCTACCCATCTTCCACATTGATTGGTGTGTAGGTGGCCACTATGTCTGCCTCGGATTTTCGGTACTGAATTCCAGTGGTTACGTGATAACGGCTGGGGTCAGGTCGCCACTCAATTTTTTACTTGTTTTTATGTTTTTTCGCAGCTGAAAATGAGCTGGTAACAGCTCGCAACGTCCTGTGTTTTAGTGTTTTAATAATCTTTTAGCCTTATTTACCCATATTTTAATTAAATCTCCTCTTTAAATGAATAAATAAACTATGTGTATCACCCTAAAAACCACGAATCGGTAAACAAACCAGAGGACTTGTTTTCTCCGAGGTTCGGGTAGTTTTCGAAGCCAGACATTCAACTATGGTCAGCGCGGATTAATTCGGTAACCACAAAAACTCAAAGGCGCATGTACTTTTTTAGACCAATATTTCACACAATAAACTAATTCATTTTTTAAACTTAGAAGCTTTACTGTGAAAAAGTGCCATGGAAATTGAACCTTTTCAGAGAAATTAGACAAACTTTATAGATGGGTACATTTTTACTCTATATATCAATGACTGGACAAACAAGGCTTTATGCCCAAGTCATAGGGAGGAGAAGAATTTTTTCTCCAAGTTCCTTGAATCTTATGGAAGTCAATTAGATTAGCATTAGCCAATAATTGAAGCGGTTCGTGCAAAAATAAGCACTTATGTTCCCATCTTTCAATCTTGATCAAAACGCATGATGAGCATGGCATCCCTTTTCGTTTCTAATAACCAAAAAAACGGTCTCTTTACATATCTACTTGCAGGGAGAAATTGCTTCTTGCTTATAGCTCATGAGAATTTGCTTTTGCGCAATGATGGTCTCCCCGGGAGCAAATTCTATTGGACTTTAATAAGTTACCAAGACAGGGACCAACCTGAGTCTTGAAGAGAAACAATCGGTGCTCCTTCAACAATTCCATTGAACCAAGATCCCACCTCCTTTTTTTTAGTCATAGTCACAATGATACTTTGGTAAAACCAAAGTGCTCGGTTTCGAATCGGAGAAAAAAATTAATCGAAATGAGGTCTTCCCCACACGAGCGCGGTTCGCGAAGCTTTCAGGTGAACTTGTTCCCGGAACACATCATAAATCTCAGCTATAATCTATTCCGCGAAACCTCAGTTCGTAGAACTAACTATCCCGCCCGGCAAAATTACGTTGTGGCAAC